CTGAAGTTCATTGGTCGTCAAGGAAGGTATAATAGGGAATTTTGCGAGGTAGGGTTGAACCGACATCAGATGTGCGAAGCGGTTACCGACACATCCAATCGATTTTGACTCCACCGGCAATCTACAGAACCTGATCATATTTTACTCCTATGTAATACAGAATCTGTTAATCTGTGAATGAGATCCGTTTGTAAAAAAACGCGTAGATTGAGCACTATGTGCGGAGTTTTTTCATGTGAATTCCAAGATTGATTAGAAATATGGCTGACAACTCTAAATATCTTCAGATTCAACATGTAACATTATGCTCCGCAACGGTGAAAGGCCGGGAGAAACGGAACGGATACGCAAGCTCTACTCAAAAGTGCGTTCCGAGTTCTGTAACCACAGTCGAAAACTGAGATGTTTCCTATCCGGGTGAATGCAGAGGTTACGATCTCGGAGCCTTTCGAGTAAGTCAGGGACTAACAATCCCATAGCTTCTTAAGTTCCAAACCCTCCGTTCAGTAGTAGACTAGCAAAAATCATAATTCCTCTCCATCACAACAACTCCTACACAAACTATAACTAGAATTAATCAAACAACCCGATTCTTGTGTACTGTGCTCCCATTCATAAATTACCTGTTCGTGAATTTCTATCCATACACAAGGGAGGGGGAAGACGTAAATCTTCGGTAACAGCATTTATTCGATTCGAGATGATTACATAACAGCAGCAAGTGACAAACGGTGAAGTCTGCTAGTTGGATACGGAAAGCGTTAGACAAATCGTGATAAGCAATTTACAAATTCGTACGCTTCCGCGTCTCTCTGGCAGTGGTAAACTTTCTGTGAGAAGTGGAAGGCTACAAAAAAAGATATTTCAGTGTCTGTGGAATACTGGCTCTGGTGAGAATAAACATATTTTTTGTAAAAAAAAAACGTATAATTATACAGCGGACGCTCAACGTGTAAATGTTCCCGGCAAAAGTATTCGATCCAAAATTACAATCTGAACTGGGCTCGGGATCAGTTCGGGGACGAATTATCGATGTCAACTAAGCCTCGTCAAACACGTTCTAACTGCTTGTTCGAAAGTGCTCCACTCGGCGATTGTGCGCATTTGTTAATCGATAAAATTGACAATCCCTGCTCATTCGGAAGAACGCAACGCAAACAAGTCCGACTATGACAATCCTGTTGTGCAACGCTTATATGATTTTTCCCGTCTCAAAACATCGATCGTTTAATTTACTTTACAATCAGACTATTGAATTTCTGTAGACCTTGTTTTCAAAAAACATATATTGCCCAAATTCAACTGATTATACGATGATCACGCTCGCACTCAAACTCACTCACACACACACACACAACGGAAAGAACATGCATAAATAGTGGCACATTACCTAGCAACACAGAACGTAAACTTTTGATCACCTGTCCAAATAAATGATATCTGCTGTTTATTGTTTACTCTGCCGAGTATATGCGTGTCGATATTTGTTTGAAAACAGAGATGTGCTTGTTTACCTTATGCAACCGGAAAATCGATCAACTGAAACACCATCAGTACAAACAGATGTTTGCTTACTGTGTTCACTTGTAGCCATCGATTCACTTCCGCATTGTTACACTTTACAGGCGACTGGATCCCACAACTCCCCGCACAGTCTGATCGTATCGCTAATGCCGTATTTCTGCGATTTGTGAGGATCAAACATCGAATGCGTGTGTACGGCGCGGCGCGGGGGGAGGGAGGTGGAGAAAGCAGTGCAGAGATGTTTGTTTGGACTCATACAGATACTCTCATACTAAACTACTAACAGTCGCGGGAGTGAGAACCCCATGGTCGCGAGAATCTATTGTTCAGTGATGGAAAGCGTGAAACAAAACCCAGGGAATACGAGTGTAAACTAAACCTTTTCCGATCAAACCTTAGCCAAAACTCGTAGTTCTTCAGCGTCGACGCAGAAACTTTATTCACGCCGCAGTAGGCGAGTCAGATTACAAAAAAGTATCGCAATATACTCTGATGTTAATGACTGTTCAAAAAAATTATTTTCTACAAATATTGATATTGCAAAGCTTAGTTAAGAAATGAGGTGTGAGGGTTGCACACTGCATCACATGTTGACTGGAGAAGATTTAACCGATGTGCGTGTATCGTTAAACTAGTTCACACATCCCGTACACAACCAGCGCTTCCGTATAACATGAGATACTCCAGTGAGTAAAAATCTCAAATGTAACACAAACGGTGAAGTGTTTTGCATTCACAAGCCCTGAAATGAATCAAAAAGTGATGCAAAGAGAAAAAGGAATGCGTCGGTACAACATCTCCATCGAAAGTGAGCTCCGTTTTCTTTTGAGACATGGGCACATTAACAGGCTGAGGATACTAAACACCATTTACAACAATACACCTTCACTATTATCATCAGTTTATTAGCGTTGCAGCATTTGACAGAATTACCATGATCAAGGCTCAAGAATTACAGATTTCGTTTAAAGTTTGGTGGGAAAATGTGCACAGTGCACACAGTGTCCTTTTTGAACGATTTTTATTATCCTCGGCATGTTTATTTATCCACTTCTCATGAACAGAGTTGACTTTAAGTGGTGACGCAAGAACGATAGGCATTTACTTTTGCGTGGTACTACTTTCTGATTTATTTCAGCGCTTGTGAATGCAAAAAAGTTCACCGTTTCTGTTACATTTGAGATTTTTACTCACAGGAGTACTGCATGTTATATGGAAATACTGAGGCTGTACGAGATATGTCAAATGGTTTGACGACACGGGAACATCGTTTAAACCTTTTCCAATCAACAAGTGGTGCACCTTCTCATTTCTTAACCAAACTTTGTAACATCAACATTTGTTTCCCTCAGAGTATATTCCGATACTTTTGATTTGAATCGCCTACTGCGGCGTGACTAAAGTTTATGCGTCGAGGCTAAAGGAATACGGGTAGTGACTAAAACGCAGCAGGTTTTAGCTAAACGATTACGAGACGACGCTAAAGAACTGCGGGTTAGGGCGAAAGCTCGATAGGAAAAGGTGTGGATAAGGTGCAAACTTGATCCTGTATTTCTGGTGTTCACGCTCAAACCAAAGGTCACTGAAAGAAACCTTTTTGAAATCGATAATTAGAGCGATTCAAAGGATCGGAAATCATTATTTGAACGAATAGCATAGTTCCATTATCGGTTATATCTACTAAGTTTAAAGTGCTACACGCAACTTTCAGGAAGATAGTTGCGGCCATGCAAGCGACGCCCGAGATATCAAAATAAGGGAACTGAGAGGTGGTTAATGGATTCGAACACGCGACCTCCGGGTCACTGTTAGATTCACATTTCCCCACCACCGACATGCCATCCATTTAATTGCTGATAAAGCTTGACAATGAATGGATCCAGTAGATTCAATGTTTCCACTAAAATCTTGCACACAAACACATTGGTAGGTGATCCCAGGAATGTCACCTCATTCATTTCTTTTGTACATTTTGGTCGTCACATTGGGCAATATATTTGTTTATAATATTTCGCTTTTGTCCATTAGGCTAAATAAGAATTGCCATTCACAGGATCATTTACAAAATTCTCTCTTCGTGTTGTAGGTCATTGTTTGGGCCTTCAGCTCGTATCGGGTTCAGACTGAGACTTCTGTCAGGAATAGTCATCTGACCTTTGATACCATTTTGGCTCATATGTGTGTGACTGCGTGGCCTTACATACATTGATTCGGCTTTCACTGGTTTGTTAACACAACGTAGGGACGCAAGACAGAGTCTATGATCCAGGTATAAACCAAGTGATCGTGGGTGAACAAGCTTCTACCTTTCAGTTTGTTGCGCGCAATGCTACGAAATCATTTCGCCGCTAATGTTGTTTTGCTCTGTCCACTGGATTTCCTCACCCTATCCGAGGATATAGATGCTCCTGTTCGAAGGGTAAAGACAAATCGATATTCTCCAGGATAACGTGTCATATTTTCAGAATCATTTCAATAGACAGTAGAGTTGTTCATTTCAAAGTACTCGTTGGTTTTTTCGCCTGTGTCCAACTGTTTTTGACAAAACGGCGAATAAAGTTGCTGCGTAAGATGTCGTAAATCTTTCTTTACAAGTATCTTGAAACTGCAAGGGTCAGAAAAATAAAATAAACAAATATTCCTTACTGCCATTTTATCTATTGAGTATACAACTGTGCAGCCAACTTTCAAAAAAGGGTCCGTGGCCATATACAGAAATGAAGAGATAGACGGCGATGATGAGGCTTTAGATCAGATTCTCCATGTCGTGAGTTCGATGATCTGAACCCCTTGAACACCGTCGCGTCTGAGTCATTCTGAACTGAACATCAACTGTAGTAATTCAGTTTGATACTTTTGATAACTATGGCAGAAAAATAGACTGAACAAAGCACAATCCATTGAATCTGCATTATTATTATTATTGTGAAATGTGTGGAGGACGCTTATTGTACAGCGAACAGATTGAACCTGGATTGAAATTCCCGGAAACGTATTGTTGAACAGCATGAGTGATGTGAGCTCATCGACCCCCGTGAAAATCGGATCAAGAAATTCAGGAAGCAGACCAGTGCACGAACCACTAAAAACCAGTAGGAAGCTGTTAGTCAAATTACTTCACTGCGTCTATGGACATTACACTATCATGCATTCTTGTAAGCTTATAGTCAGTTTCCACCAGCACTGATACCCCAATTCACAGTGAATACTTCCTATCAAATTATCGGTGACATAAATCGGCACGATAGGGCCATCGATACTATGGATAACCACGGTCTGTCTGCACCAGTTCTCTGGCCCCGAAGACTGTTCTGGTGCTAGTAGCGTCCTGTGAGCATAAATCTCCGTTCACGCCAAGTAGCTGAAAGGTGGTCAATTGATGGGGAGAGAGGAGTTAGCGCTTTTTGGAACGGACACAATCTTGATCAGTACCTAATCGGAGGAAGAAATATCACTTATCAACTTGGCTGTGTTCATCACGTGTGGTATGGAATACCTGGGAATTTTGCCTCCAGGCTAAACAAAGTGAGAATAATATGATTTATCGACAAAGGTTCAATAGATTGCCAATAAGAACATAACTTCGTATTTCATCAATAATCCGTACATATCCAGCAGTCGGTAGTGATCTTGACTAGCGAAACAACTTACCTCAAACTACTTAACAGAATCGGGACCGCACCGTGCGTTCGCATTTGCAATGCCAAATCAGGCAGAGTGGCCAGTTGAGACACACACGAGGCAGCGTAAACAGCCGCAGGGGACAGACCGAAAACGGTTCGCAAAGATCGAACGCAAATTCGTTCGGCCAATTGGTAAAAATCTCGTGCGTTTTTATTTTTGTATTTGTTCAAAATCTCTGTGTCCGATGGATTGGTTTCAAGATTTCCGGGAGTCTGGAAAACAATGATTCGAGACTAATGTAAATGTGGAACACATTTGAAATACAAAGGAATTGTGCGTGTAACTTCAGGAGCAGAGGTGGGGGTGGGGTAGGGCAGGTGACAAGGAAGGCTGTTTTTGTCCACGTTAGGACGGAGTCAAACAACATACAAACGTTTTTGTCCGTAAAGTCGCCTATCCAATATAAGTATAATCTATTTTTTGTCCAGCATGAGGTGTTTCAGTGTTTACTGGGATATTTATTGAACCATACAGTCAGCACATGGTTAAGATGTAACACAAGCGTCCATTGTTTGTGAAGACTGCGAACAAGTACTACCGGGGATCTCATCTACAGGACAGAATAAAACCACGGAAAGCGAACTGCAATGGAAAAAGTAGAAAGTTTCCATTAGTTCAGAGTGTGTCAGTTGTCAAAAGACCTCGTCAAATAGGAAATCTCTCTGAGTTCAGATTGAAAAACGTGTTTTAGAAAGTTCGCACTAAAAACAACCGTACTCTGTAAAATCATACTACTTAGACCACAATATGAGCCGAAGATGAATAAAATGATGATCATTCTATAATAGACCGAAATAATCTATAGTGTGCATTTAATGGATCATTAGCTAAGACTCTCCCGCCAGAACTCGAGGCCAAAGTTAGGAGTGGACTAATTTGGACAGCTGCAAACAACTACGCGGGCTACTACCAACTCGCAAATCGCCTTAATGTGAACTGAGCACATGATGGACAGTCTGTGACACGGACTTGCCCCGCCCCAAACAGTAAGCCAAAGTCTATCTTCCACTTCAATCATGAAGACAGATTGCAATTTTCGTCATATAAAAACGTGCGTAATAACATTACAAAAAACGTCATTATAATACATTCCTTCAATAAGGATTAATTTTAGCCGTCAATTATGACTTCCTCTTTCTTCCTCGGTCCGTCAAGGAATTTTATGCAAAAGGAGCCGTCACGACAATTTTTTAAGAACAGTTAATACGAATCCTGCAAGCTTCAGGGTGGAACAAAAATGTAGCCAACCCACTATCATCACTTTAGTGCCGCCCCTTCGACTCGGTACGTGTGTATGCACTGGGTGTTGTATTTGCTCTCTCGCTGTATTAACTAAAGTCTATTACAACGATAAAAAACGTTTGAGCATCCAAGAGAGCAAGCACAGTTTCTAGTTGCATTCTAAAAGTGCGCCAATAAAACCGATCATCACAGAGTGAATCGTAGACAATTGGGAGGGGGATAAAAATTACAAAATAACTTAAATACGCATCAGAACAACTGATTAGATCCGCTTAAATGGGATACGGGTAGCGCGGTGGTTTATTCGCTGTCATTGGCGTACTTTGGACCTTATGGTCCGAGATTCGAGCCCCACTATCGCCACTATACTTTGGTGGTAGACAGCTGTGCTGTCGTCCGGTTCAATAGCACACCTAACCTATCGGGGCCTTATGTGGTTCGCCACTCCAAGTCCCGGGGCTAAAGTGACCGGTTTCCATCACTGAACGGTAGGTCTTCGTGAATATCGGGTCCGCCCTGTCTGCTGTTTATCACGCTAAAAAAAGCGTATAATAAAAAAGCAAATCTTCGGTATTTGAAATGTCATCCTGCTGAGATAGCTTTGTATTCTGCTCCATGAGGAACTAAAGATTGAAAAACTCCCTTTAGTTGAATGAAGTTTATCTTAATTACCGTTGGTAAAACGTGGTCGTGCACTAATAATTCGAATTGGTGTCCGAAATTATGGCTTCCATTTCTATAGATTCTTACCGAAATGAATGGAATATTTGAGATAAACACAAGGTGATTTTCGTCCGGGCCGAGGTTGTTGCGTAGACAAAATTTTCATCTTCTGTCAGCTACTAAGACACTGTTACATGTAGTTTGGTGCACAAAAGTTGACTTCTCTGCAAAAATATCTTTTAGGACACGATGTATTTGAAACATATTCTACACTAAATCAGGCGCTCCATCGAGAGATCTCAGGACGACTGAGGGGTTACAACATGATTCCGGCTATCTTCGCCATGTCCAATGAAGTACAAAACGAGTGCCACAATCTATCGTCTCTTTTCAATTTTACGGTGAGTAATATTCTTGAGTAAACATTGTCCGTCCTTGAAAATTAAGGTTCACAGTCTCTACTAGAGTTCTTCACTGATGGATGCTATACAAATCACGCAGGCACGCGGCAGCGACTGAGCAATAGTGGTTTTTTAGCTTCACCAAATATAGGCAAAAGGTGCCCTCGTTTTATTGGACATATTTTAACAACTCCAACGGAGAATAAACTATACAAACTGGCAAAACGATATGATTATATATATATATATATATATTCCTCCCAATAACCTCATTTGCAACATCGTGTAATTTTGGAAGGACAGCTTTTTCAGTAGTATTGGTTCTTTATCGGACTGACTCTGAAAGAGCTGTCCATCCAAAATTACACCATGTTGCAATTGAGGTTATTGTGAAGAAAATACACTTCCTGAGTAAAAGTATATGACAAAGGATTGCCGGATACGCACGCTTGACGAGCGGTAAGAATCGCAAAACAGGGGATATGCCTCCAGTGAAATCTGGTCGAGTTGGTCATCTGTTGCCTAATATGAACCAGAGAATGACCGATTATCCAGACGTTTCGTGAATGCAAGTCGAACTGTTAAATGCGTCCCAAAAGAGATCTTGCCGATTACTATTTGGATTGGTTTTCCTCATTTAATTAACAATTAACAATTTAACAATTAAATATCTGTACGAACTTGAAGAACCGAGCAGCCCCATCGCGTCCTCATCAATTTCATTTTAGACTTTTGAGTGAATTTTATCTTGATGTGTTCAAGAATTCAATCAATCTTTCGGATGTCAATCAGTTTGTTTTCTCGAGGATAGCGCCCCGTCATCGACATTGTGATATGTTTTGACTATCGCATTGTCTTAGCCATTGAGACTAAATACAATATATATGCTCCGTTTTATTTTTCTGAATATAGAATCACATTCATTTCCCTAGACAGAAAATTACTTTTTGATATTCTTGAACAGTCAATATTCAAGCTGACTGTGTGATTTTATCATCGATCAATATCAATTTGTCTGTTTTGATTGTATACAATTCATTGGTCGTTTCAGGCCTTACAAGAATACTTACAGGTACTCTTTTTTATCTTTTTCCTTTCATTTTTACAAACAAAATCGTCCTCCCGACGCATCCGCTTTTACATTCAAGAACGCTGATGTTATTGTTGCTGGTCGCTTGTCTCACTCTAGCTCACCCGTAAGTCTTTTGGTTAGGAATCATGTATGCAATCCATTTTATGACGTACCACCATAGAATAAGCTTTGGATTCCTGGTCTATATCCAGCATATAGTCTTCAGTAGCTCCAGAAGATTCAAGAAACCTACACCGGTTCGAGAAAAAAACGAAAACACCCGGTTGTGCTCAAGTTTATTCTATTTTTCTCACTTTCTCACTGAACTTATTGTTCTCATGCTGTCTTCTGTAGTCTGCCTGCTAAGGTTTTCGTATTTGTCAAACGGTCACTAAAATGGACCTCAAAATGCGGTTCAATGTCTTATATATTCCACCCGCGTAATACTTCTCTTACACGCTATACTTCTATGTCGGCTTCTCGTAATAAGTTCAAACTGACACATTTCCGATTGCATAACTTTTTCCACAGGAAACGAACTGTTTTTTTTTTCAGTCAAAACATCATATCAACCTGCTGAAAATTTGCCTCTCTTTCGGAAAATTCAAGTGCATTCCCGAGTTGACTTGACCTAATCGCAGACTGTGCAGTCTGTGAATACTGTGCGTTCATTTGAATGCTTAAACTTTGTCCTTCAGGATATATCACTACATGCCACATGCGTCTGAGTTCAGACTTTGTGCTCAACAAATCACGGTTTGATAAACTTTATAAGAAAGATCACTTACGAATGGGCGGGATACTGTCAGTACGACTACTTCTAGCCACAGTTCCGGAGTTACACAGATCAGGAGAGTCGAGCGGTAATGATGATGATGATGATGATGATGAGGTTTGAGCTCACGGCCTCCGGGTTAACTGAACCGCTTATTTGCACTAAACAAATGAGGAATCTTTCCCCAAAGGGCGTCACTTGTGAATTGTAGACAAATCAAAAACTCATATCTTTCAGCAATCTGGAGGGAAGTATTCACCGATAACACTGAGGAAAAACGATGTGCCGATAAATTAACTCACCTCGACTTCGGATGATGATATCGGTTGGATGATGAGAGACAGCAAAGAAGGAATATAATCGGAAGCAGCGGGCAGATGACATCGAATGTGTTTCATCTGCAGCATGTGCCTCAAAATACATAACGTCATTCTAAAATGCAAAAAGTAAGGAGAGAAGGATGATCTGAATAAGTTTACTTTCAAATAGTTGTGCGAAACGAAGATTACAGTAAAAAAACAGCATTTTTCGTTACTAAATCCTTTTTTGAGAAGTCAGACATGGTTTTGGTATTCTTACCGCTGCTTTTACGCTTGTTTTAAGCAGACAAGCTCGCTGATATTAGTGCGCTTCGCTGAACTATACTTCAATATATTTTTTGCCTTGATTTACCGCTTTATTTCACAACTAAGCTGTGCATTTGCTCCGGGACATCTAAAGGTGATGCACGTTATGTTTGGCCAACACAAAATCTCCATTGTCCGAATATACCATCATGACACATTGTAAGAAAACACAGAGTAGAGAACAAGGCCGTTTGTGGTGATTCTTCTACAGGCTAATACATCACAATTTATATTAGGGGGGAGAAATCATGAAAAGTTGGAAAAGAGGTAATTAACATTCCAGTTTTATGACCAGATGTTGCTCACACTATGGTCTTCACACATGCGCATTGGTTCGGGTCATTAGGAGTTGATGGTGGGATGGCTGAGGCATGTGTGGTATTAGTCATGGTAGACCGAGTGTTCCTGCGAACTGTCTTTAGGAGCGCAGGGGGGATTATGTGGGTGGATTCCGATCGCTTACACCTTGGCCAGAATGTGACTCCTAATCCTCTTATGTGAATCGATGGCTGCAAACTAAGTACCAAAAGTCGATAGCTCCTTAGTTAGTAAAAACAATTACCGATAAGAATGGGGCTCTGGACGACCTTATTAGTGACTTTTAACTAACTTACGTTCTAATATTAACGTTAAGCAGTTTGGTAGATTTTATTTCTTTATGAGTGTGTTTGTCACGCATAGTTGGCGAATTTTATTCACGAGTGAAAACACTTGGATACACTGCACGAATTTATTGTTAACTTTATTGGGAATTACCAGGCGGTGTATTTGTCCACTTTGCGTTTTTCATTTTGGTTGATCAACAACAGCGTTTTCCAATGCTTGAAAGCTGTGCAAACACTTTCAAGTAGATTGTTACACACTGAGCAATTACACACACACACACCCGTTCGAGTCCAGACCGTGTGCCGGACCAATCACGACACAACAATCCTTATGGTAAAGAAACTGCTCTGGTTAGGTGGTGGGCGCAATATTTCTGAGCTACCCAGGCCAAAGCAAAGGAATTTCTGAGGGAAATAGTCAACTGAAGCCTTCAGCCATCCAAAGCCTGACGCGCAAGGCAGTCCATTGGGGGCCGATGTCCAGTTCATCGGATCATTCACCTTTCGACGGGGTCAAATATCGAAGATGGCCAATACACCTCAATACCCAGTTCAGCCGGTGACCACTGCCACAACCAGGGATGCGTGGGCTATTGTGGTTCGTACGCCATTTCTTCGTTGGTATGAAATCAGCGTCTTTAGCCAACTCCCCTAGTTGAACTGTTAGTGGTTCACCGATCCGTTTACAGGATGTTGGTTGACGAAGGATACCATTCAGTTCAGTTTAGGTTAGTTACGCGGTCTCTAACCGGAAAAACCAGGTAGCCCGGGTCATGACTCCATGACAGGTCAAAATTTGTTTGCTGGCCTTCTGCAACTGGCAAAACATTAGAATAGCACGATAAGGCACGCGCGGCCGGATTTTAAAGCTCTTATCATACTTGATGTGATGCAAAAGACCATAGTAATATTGTATTATACTCCATTAGGTGATGAATAATAAAGGTTGTAGTTTCATAATAACAAATATACTTTTGCCCATGAAAACTGGCAGACCTAGTCCTGGGTTTTGAAGCCATGAACCAGTGAATGTTCAGCATGGTTTATAATAGTACAAACAACTCTACTTCCACTCAAGCAGCATTTCTTCCTTATAGTTAAATATGACAAAAAATTGATTACATAACACTCTGTCGGCTAGTATGTATAACAGAGTCTTCATTTCTGTATTCGTTCTGCGTTGAAATCACCGATAAAACCGAATAGTCTCTTCAATAACAAAATTTCATCGTATATGAGAAAAGTTCATTTTTATTCGAAATCTTCATCTACTATTTTCTCTTACGTTAAACTGACAACTTTTTTCATTATGCGTGTGCATTTGATGATGATGAAGTAGTTCTAATGGTGTTCACGATTTATTAAACCGAGGTTTTTAATTTATCACCGGCGCAAGAACATGTTACAGGCTTTGCGGTCTTATCCTTCGCAACCATCATCTTAAACATAAAACAAAGAATAAACATTTTATTCAACGATAACGATTGTTTTTCATTTTCTTTTTTGAGTTCGTGACTTACGTTCTTTCCGGAGCCTTTTCGGTGAGTAGCAAATGGCAGAGGGATTTAAATACTTCAATACCTGCGCAGTGTTCTGCGAATAGTCGGCTACGAGAGAAGATCCGTTATGGACCACACGTTGAACTGGCTCACCTTTTGGTCAATGCAATCAAAGCGATCAAAACAAAGTGAAGTATCATTCGATCCGTCTCATGTAACAATTGTAACAGTACCTGGGAGAAATGGATAGGTAAAACCTCACTAGTTATAATGATAGAATGAGTATGGCCATGTAAAAGTTAAACGAAAAAAACCCAAAGAAAAAAGGCAAGTAGTATGAAAAAAGGGCCGAAATTTGAATTTTTCAATCGGTGAAGTTTTAATTCGGACGATGTTTTTCTGAGAGAGAGATAAACTCATGAACTTGGATCAGTAAGATTTAAAAGGTAACCGTGCGTGACAAACAAACTTCCGCGTCTAATTACCACATTCTACATGGTGTGATAACACAATGTTTCGTGCTAGGAATGTGAGGAAAAAAATTCTCGGGAAGCACCAATAAACAATCCAATTACGACCGCAATCTTTTATCCTTGGTCGTGCAGTATGCCAAAATACCGAAGTTAACAAAATAACTTCAATGCTCTCGTTTGACTACAAAATGAGCCCACATAGAGGCGAGAGAGTATTGGCTGCTATTAGCACCAAGATTAGGCAGTCAGTTTGTGCTCACACATCTCTGCAAGCAATTTGATCCCACAAAAATAATCATGCTGCTTTCTTTTTATTTCCCAGTTGCTGGTTTCGTTAACCAGCCGTTCACAGCCTCCGAAATCCTCAGGATGGTCGAACGTGGGTGTCGCAGGTTACGCCCTCCTTGCACCTCTCGAAACGCTCTCATACAGCCAAGCGTCTCAAACAGCCTCTGCTGACAAGGCCCTAATCACTGCCTTCTCGTAGCAGCAGTGTTTTCCCAACAAAGTGAGAGGACCAAAAGCCAATATCCGGGGCTAGAACCGGATCAGTGAAACAATGGCAATTTACTTATGGGAGTGGACCAAACACCCTAACTCCAAATCAAGCAAGAAGAGGAGTACAAAACAAAATCACCCACGCATCCTTGATTGTGGCGGTGGTCACCGGCTCGATTGGGCATGAAAGGTGTTTTGGGTCCCTTGGATGTTCGAACCCATCCAAAGGGCATATGATTTGATGAACTGAACACCGCCTACCCCCACCTAATGGAATACGGTTTTCACACACCGCCCCACTGCCTTCCGGATCAGACTTCAGCTACCAGAAAGCTCCGGTTCTAAACTCTCTGAGAAATTTCTTTTGCTTTGGCCTCGGTAATCTAGCGGTATCGTGCCCCTTAGTAAATTGTGATTTATTTGTCACATTCTGAACGCACACACACACACACACACACACACACACATATATATATATATATATATATATATACCGTTCCATTTTATCTCAGACTCGGGAGACAAGAGACATTTGTTCTGCCTAGTATCCCTGTAACACCTATAAATGTTGAATCAATTACCGTATCGTAAATTAATTTCTCTGTGGTATTTAAACACGATTTGTAAAACAAGTACATCGGAAACACATAAACAGACCAAAAAGAAAACTTGAAAACGAAGAGGATAATTAGTGGTAGGGTTCGTTCAACCGAGTTCCATCTATTGGTGTATTGGAGTGAAATCACAAACCCCTTGAGAGGATGATCAGTTAGGATCATAAAAATGATGTAACAGAAAAAGCTAATTGAAACGTAATATATAGTGCCGCTTTAGATAATATTTTCACCCATATGTTCAGTTCAGTTCTTACAACCTTTAACCATGCACTTTTGTGCGCCGGTTTTGATTGCTGTCTTCTGGCTGCCAATTTGGATAAAACAGCAGAATGAAAATTAGAATGTTGAGAGCAGATTCAAGCGGAAGATAGCGCATTTACATAGACTGAAGTTACAAGAACAATGGGTAGATGCATCAGCGCCATTGTTTGCGACACCCAGCCATATCATTCAGTGTCTCTAACCATCGGTGGCCATCGTCTCGTCTTAGTTTGACCGTCCTTGATTTTTTTCCAACCGCTCTCTGCCTCGGCAAACATCGCTCACCGTGGCAACCTATTTGGTGATATCTGTGGCACATGTCCCAAGCAGAGTAATCTATGCAGGTCGACTACCTGCTCCAGTGAACGACCACGATTTTCTAAAACTCTACGCCTAACCTCAGCACTGCTTGCCCGGTTTCTCCACCAGACTCGTGCAATGCGACGTTTGAACATCGACAATCTATTTTTATCCTGTTCCCGTAGTGGCTCAGTCTCTGCACCGTAAAGCAGAACTGGTCGAACTGCTGCAGCATATACCCGACCCTTCATAGAAAGCCGGATGTCGCAAAGGCGCCACAGATGTTTCAAGTTGGCAATTGCCAACCGAGACTTCTGTATGCGCGCCAGGTCCGCCAGGTGAGATAAAGCTGCTCAGATAGCAAAACTTGTCCACTTTCTCTACAACTTCTCCGGTCAGGATGAGGTTGGGGACTGGGCCAACCCAATCTTGGAGTAGAATTTTACACTTCGTCACGTTTGCTGAGTCATTTCAGTGATCAAACCAGTTTGAATATGAAACGTTTGCACACATTATAATTAAGAACCGTAATGGTACGCTAATTCATATATGTATCGCGTTGCTGTTAGTGTGGATTTCGTATTCTGATGTCGATGCTATAGCGTTTTAACTGCATTCTATTAGTTTGTTTAATTATCAATTTCAGTAAGTAAACGATAAGTTTAGTAGTTAGAGTGAACAGATCAATTCCATAAATGCTTTCCATAATGCCAAATAATGGGTAATAAGGTCCGAATATGGTGATTATACGAAACAGTAAGATGTTTTTGCCATCAGTGCAGAAATGCCAAACCACGACGTTTAAACCTATGACTAAAATTACAGCTTATTTATACTAGGCTGGAAGCGTTCTCTTACAGACAGAAATCTGTAAAATACTGGTTGTAAACAAGTATTTTGTGCCAAAATAAACTGAATTCTATTGTTTTTTCTGACAGACTCGAAGAGCCGATTTGAGCTTATATACTTTCATCCCTTCAGATCACAAGGATCTTTGAATTGCCGTGGAAGACATTGTGAAGGACACTTACTTCCAGAAGACCACTTTGATGTACTAGCATTTGTCCGCTCCTTGTCATACAGAGTTCTTTGATAACTTTGATCAAGAGCCGAATTATAATCAGAGGTTCCTCAGATATCTTTGATCGACCTGATGGTGAAAAGAGAGTGTATCTTCAATTGATACATAATTATTAGAAAATACTACTAAATTAATCAATTTTATTAATTGAATAATTTAAGTTGGATTTATTTGTGGTCGTCTAGACTATAATGAGGGCAAAATGTCTGTGTTTCAGTCAAACACTGCAGATCATTTCATTTAAAAGAAGGAAATAATACTCAATGAAATATTTTTCACCTTCAAATATTTTCCAGAAGCTAAGCGAGAACCCGCTGTCGACGTATACTGCTGTTGCAATCAAAATCTTTGTAACAGGAAGTTCGCAGGGAACGGCCTATGTGGATATCTTTATGGAACACTTGGTGAATAAGAAACTGCAACAATGTATAGAGAATGATGAATTCTACGATCGCATCGTCAATGACACCTTGATATATATATATATATATATTCTCCATGTCAACCCAATAAATACTGAAGATGAATCATTTCACAAGCAAACTTGGACAAGATAGTATCTCGACTTTGAAAGTTTCTATGCAATACAATAAGAACCATCGCTGGTGTATTGCTCATTCTTTAGAGCCAAGACAATTCTCCCCTATAAAAAATTAGAACTAGGTTTTCACTTCATATTAATGGCACTGCATCAAAATGAATACTCAAGCAGGTTTACTGAGAAAGATGAAGAGTATTTGAATGAAAAAAAATGAAGGACACCGCCTCGAAGTAAGCTGTTTTCACGCTACCGGCGCGGGTTAAAGCAGAGTTGTAGGAATCTATGAAGCTACCACCGTAACATAATTTACTACCACGAAATCAATATTGACTGAATCTAATCCGGTCAAACCCGACTCTTTGGTTATCTCCTCGTGTGGGTTACCCTGACACACACCACTTTCCGTGATCAACTCGGGTGAAAGAAAGCCGTAAATTCGAACTCGACCTCGGATAACAGTATAAAGTTATCGTAATATTGAAATAAGCATTCCGGGCACACTCTTCAAGGAAGGGCAGAGTTTAGAGCGATCAACTGGGTCTAAAGCCGCTTTCAGAACAAAGACAGAGATGCGGGGTCTACGAAAAGAATTTCGGTGCTTTAGATTTTGACGAAGAGTGAAGATGTGGTCGATACAACCTCGGCCAGTTTTTAAAACAGCCCGGTTTGCATGCATGCATGCACTCTTTACCTGCGGCAGACAATAGACGGAGTATGATGCCAGCGAGAAGTTTAGAGGCAATGTTGATGAAACTAATTCCTCTGTGGTTTTCACAAGAGGACTTGTTACCTTGCTTATAAATGAATACGATGACCGATTCACACCATTCAGTTTGAAACTATTCCGTTTTCCACACTGAGCCCAAGAGTTTACATTCATCTTTCTTATAGAGTGATTATAAAAATAGCCCTACTGTCGTACGAGAATAGTAGCATCGAATTGCTCCCAAATAGAAGACTGTCTGGAGTGCAGCATGCAGACAAAATCGTGCTGCTAAGTGAAAACCCGGGTAAGTTTCAAGCTTTTCTGTATATTTTGAGTTCCAGCGTAGCCATGTTCGGCATGCGTTTTGCACCTTCAAAGTGTAAAATGTTACTACAAGACTTGGTCGGCCCAGCATGGAGGCGCCTCACTGTAACTGGAGAGGTAATAGAGTAAGTGGATGGATTTTGATATTCGGGCAGCTACATTTCACCCGGTGGACGCATCACGGATGAAGTGTCAGGTCCCATACAGAAGGCCCGGTTGGCATTTGCCAACTTGAGACATCTGTGGCACCGTCACGACCTCCAGCTGTCTGTTAAGGGTTGATCGTATGCCGTGGTAGATCGGCCAGCTATGCTACACGGCACAAAAACCTTGGCCACTAAGGAAACAGGATAAAGATAGAATGTCGCTTATTATGAATGTTATAATGCTAATAACACAGCGACTTCGGCAGAGAATTATATTCGCCGTTTCGGTTACCGTCACTGTTTGAACACCGCTGTCTACGCAGTATTGCATAAATCTGACGGGGCAGCCAGACAAGAAATGCTGAGGTTAGGCAAAAAATATTAGGTAACCGCTGTCGCCCATTGGAGCAAGTGGTCGATCTCTATAGATTACATTGGTTGCGGGCATGTGTTACGTGTCACAAACAGGTTGTCGCGGCGAGCAATGTTCGCCGAGTCAGATAGTGGTTGGAATAAAAACAAGGATGGTCAAGCTAGAATCTGGATATGAAAACCCTAACCAGGACACTGGGTCACATAGGTCCTGTTAGGCTCCCTGGATGGGGACCTCGGGATGATCATAACCGATGGGTAGAGACACTGGGGGATTTGACTGTGTCGTAAACATTGGCGTTTGTGCATTTTCTCAATTTGTTTGTAATATAAGTCCACTGAAAAGCTCCATTTTCTGCTCGACTCTAATTTCAACTTTCCTCTTTTTCCTACTGTCCATTCAAATGGGCAGCCAAAAGACCGACGTAGGAAAGGGCATGGTTAATGGTTGTTCAAAAATAAACTTCTCCTGTGCTCACTTTTTTCATTGCACGTGAGGTAGTAATTATTTCGGAAGCTCTGATAAACTAGTGTATGAGAGCGTGGGCCGATTCCAGTCACAGTCCATGTTACATCTTAAGGAATTTGATAGCCCTAGAAACTCTTTCCGTGTCTTGATTTGCTAGAAGGGTAGTCGTTCACTGCAGTCAACCCAAGGAGCTGCAAAGCGACTTTACAAACCCTATCTGTGTAAGCGGATCGAATCACTGGCTAGCCTCGTGCTGCTATGATAAGTGTGAATACTCCGGTTGCACTGATTAAGTTCCCTGCCCCTGTTTTCAATCCAATTTGGTTTTTTTGACTTTTGCCTTTCGTATTTATTGATTTATCTTACCCGTGAGTTTGCTTTTCCCCTATACAGAAAATGTTTCAAAATGTTTTCTCGAAGTAGACAGTAAGAGACACTTACAAGGATAAGTGTGCTGATTTGGTTCAATATATAATTTGAAAAATGCGTTTTCATTGCAACACTTATATTATTCACTTAGTTACCACGTTACCACTTTATTGGAGGGTTACACCTCTCGTTATAACTACAATCAACTACACACAACCAGAAGGTTAACTGCCATATTCCAGTCCCGCTGGGACTTCGCTGTTAACGACCGTCCCACTTGAGTCCCACCAGCACTGTACATAAGTGCTTAGAAAGAAATACAAAAAGTGAGTGAAATGAATTCATGGAAGCGTAAATTGAGTAAGTAATGATGATGATAATAATATATTGTTATTATACTATATTACGAATGCATTCGTCCGCATGGCAAAACATGTCACAACTTAGTTTAAGTAGACATGTGCACTGAGGGATAAATAAAAGCTCTAGATATTCAAACATAAGGTAGTTAATTCGGTTATTTTGATCGGCCGTTCCATGTATTCGTACTTGTCTTCTATTAGAGTTCCACTCATGTCAAGTTTCGAGTGCAAATTTGCACGGTTAATGGACTCGCATGGAACTCCCATGGGACTCATAAATGATTGCAATGTAACTCAAATAGGAAGCAAATGGACAAATTTGTTGATTGTGAACTCTTTAATCAGTCATAGCTTAAAAAATTATGATGCACCGTACATTTTTAATGTAGTAATGAATTAGTTATACTTATATCCCATTGAACGAGACGGTATGACACATTTATACTTGCATTCTTCGAATCAAAACTATTTTCGACACGTACCTTTAGTTGAAGTGAACGCATGAATGTCTCCGGTGGTGACATCATGGCAATCTGTCCCAGGACCATCACGATAAGAAAAACTGGATATGACCTACATAAATTGCATGTATTTGTCGATGAAAGCATGAACAAACCGATTTGAACACCTTAAGAGATCTCCGCAGAGGTTTTGCAATGCTTTTGATACACATTCGATTTTCAGCATAATTATTCAATAGCAACACAAGTGCGACGACTGATTTGCCCGAGATGCTGAGCAACTTTTTCCTGTCAGAAATTATCAGTGTTATGAAACGAACAAACGTTGTTGGTGCTCTCTCAGACAGAAGATGATAAAGAACAACTTCCATCAGCTTGCAATCTTCGCTTGCTAGTCGAAGTGACTTACAGCCTTCTTTGGATAGGGTCGTATGGTTATCATTATAATTCTGCAAATATTTCCAGATCAATTTATCCTGTGCTTCGAACTCCTCGTTGGATAGCTTCTGTCCATTTACCACACCTTCAAAGAGCTGTTTGGCAGCGGAGCTCATCACATGTAGTGCAGAACGGTACTCCGAGCTTACGGTGTTATGTGGCTTGTTACCTGTTAGTCGCGAGATACACTCGAGCAGGTATTCGATACAAGAATACCTGTGATCTATCGCCAAGGTCGAGTACTCGTTAGACGAATACTAGCACGACCAATCACTCTTGGGGATAACTGAAGGACGGTGCTCGTGGTACTCCCGAGGGCCTTTGCGATCAAGCTGGAAGGTGGGTAAAACAAACCAACATGAACTAAGGGTCCAGTGGGACATCAACATGACTCGAAACAGTGGAATTGATCTCCTTAAGTGTGCGCTAAAAGAAAAGTATTGCAATAGACCTTTTAAGCGTAACAGTGATTCATAACTATATAGAGAGAGAGAGCTGATATTTACTCCTTGTGGAGAATCTTTGAATTTGATATATCTACACATCAGTTATATACATAAGTGATTCCTCTATAAAGGAATCTATACCTTTTTACTACAAATGACAAAAATAAATGCTTTGGTTTATATGACTGAAATGCGGAATGAAATTACAGAATGATTTTAATCCAAACTTCACGAGTATTAATTGTATTTAATAAATAATTATCATTAGAAGACTTATTATTTTATTATTTTGAAATCATGATTTCATGATGTCCTTCTTACAGGTGATGTCGTCCTTTTAGTGGCAAATTATATTCTATTGCCTTGAAATCAACCGAATATTCGCAAATTACTTCACAAAAAAGGGCAAAAGTAATTTAAAGTAGGACTAAAGCTAATTAAAAACGAAATTCGAGAGAGATGCCGGTGGATAACGTCAGCCTTATAACACTTCATCAGAACTGAAAAAGCCGTATCTATGATAAAAGGCAGGCACTCAAAGTCACATTAATTCCGTCCTACCCACTTTACAAACAGTACTGTAATAGGACTGCTTCTGACGTATTATTCGTGCTCCGAATCTGACACCAAGGAACGACGATCCAAGGCAAACTGAAATCAATCGCACAACAGTTAGTTCCAGCAAGCACACACAACCACGATCAATAAATGTCACGGCTCACAAGAACGAATGCTTGGAGACTAAGGTTCATTAGCGTAGGCCTCCGAAAGCCTCAGTATGGTCGAGGGTGGGTGTTTAGGGTTGCGGCTGGTCACCATTACCATGCACCTCACAAGATGCTCCCATACGACCGAAAGCCTCTGCTGAGAAAGCCCTACTCACTGCCTTCTCGTGGCGGAGGTGTTTTCTCACCAAAGTGAGAGGACGAAAAGCCGATATCCAAGGCTATAACCGGCTTAGTGGACCACTGGTAGTTCACCTAGGAGAGTTGGCTAAAATCCCTGGTTCCAAACCAACCAAAAGGAGGCGTAAGAACCACACCCACATCTTTTCGGTTGTGGCAGCAGTCACCGGCTCGATTGAGCATTTTGGTGTATTGGGTACCTTGGACGTCTGACCCCGTCCGAAGGGCGTAAGATCCGATGAACTGGACACCGCTCCCGCTGCCTTGCGGGTCAGACTTTGGCTAACCGAAGGCTCCGGTTGTGAATTCCTCAAGAAAATTCACCTGCCTTGGCCTGGGCAACCTGGCTGTATTCAGCCCACAAGCCAATCATGGAACATCTTTTTATAAAGATTGTTGTACTATGATTTTCTTGGCACACAGTTTGTCAACAGACAAGTGTGAAATATAATGATAATAGCGTATCTCGGAGGGTGGCGTCCCACCCGAGTGAAACACGAAGGCAGTGCACGAACACACACGTGGGGTCGAGCAGGAAACACAATGTACCGAAAACAACGGGGGAGAGAGAGTCCTTTCAAACGCTGATCTCAAGTCTGGGATCAAAATACAAAAGGGTCTCAAACGGTGTCTCCTGGTCGTGATTCTTCTGGTCCTGTTCATCGATTATGTGCGGAATGGAATGGTACAAAAAAGGGGAATGTTAGAAAACGCCAATTCAAAACCCTACGTTACGGTTTCTGTTCTATTACACAGCCCCCCCCCCCTATCGACGAGTGCACTGTACTCAGTGCCCTGTGAGGCCTCTGGGGTGCCCAGATCTCCTTCCGGGGGTACCTCCACGGTTTGTTCGACAATCGGTACGATTCCCGGGGGAAGGTAGTAGGGTTGTTTTTGTCGCACTCGTTTCATTCGCCAACTTCAGCTGGTTGTAGTGAACAGTGAGGGCTACTGCTCGAGGGTTTCCAGCATCTTGTATGACGCATGTCTGCGATAAAATTATACATTTCACTAGGTACGGTCGTTTCCAAGGGTTATGGAACGCCGTTGCTTGTCCTGATGGTTGTTTGGGTCGATGTAGCCACACATAGTCCCCGGTTCTATATGTTGGTCCCCATATGCTCGTGTCGTAGATGCTCTTTTTCCGTTGTTGGGCCAGCTTAATTTGCTTTTGTTAGAGGCGGAGAGCGAAACATAAATCCTTGAGAACTTTTCGACTTTATGTCACCAGGTCGACTGCATCCTTAGGGGGCAGGGGCGTCAGGACTTCCACCGGCAGCTGTAACTCTCGATTAAAGGCT